AGGAAGGAAGGGACCCGGGGGTAGCAGGACCCAGAGGAGAAAGGAGAGGCGTAAGAGGTGGAGTAAGGCTAGAATCTTAAACTGGTGTACAGGGCGGAGACTCAGATGGAGCTTCGCCGATCTAACCCCTAGACGTAGAGCTGGGGCGCTCCGGCTTGAAAATGGAAACTGTACTTCAATAAAGACTTTTGTACATTACTGCCGGCTAGCGTTGGTCCTCTGTGAGCTGGGACCTGGAGCCAGCTCTGACAGTATGTAACTGAGGTACCACTGTACGGCGTAAAGTAATCTTGCAGGTAGACTGTTCCAAAGTTATTAAGGGCTTTGTATACTCATAGTAACGCCTTGACCTGTTCAGATCTCTGGGCACATGCATTATATGCTGACAAGGTCTGACTCCTGTCAGCAATTGTGCTGCAGCGTTCTGCACTAACTGCAGCTTCCAGATCTGACATAGGGGAAGCCCCACATAGAGTGCATTACAGTAGTCCAGTCTTTGAGTAAATGTACCTGGATTTCCGCCCACCCAGCTCTTGCATGCTGTGACTGGACGTTTGACTTGTTTGAATGGATCACTGAGGTTTTCCAGCTTGTTAAACAAAAGCTAATAAAACTTTTATTGGTGGGGGAACCCATTGTCCTTGAAACGAGCAAGCCCTTTTCTTCAATGGAAGCGCGGTCTAGCTTTCGACGTTCTCTTCTTGCATAACTCACCCCACACTGGACAACCCACTGCCTCCTTTCTGTGCCAACATTCCATCTCAAAATGCATTTCTAAATTAAACAAGCCTTTTGCAATCCAATTTCCAATTTAATTTGGTTTCCCTTTCAGTTACATGAGAGTCCAATTTCTCTCCCCCCTCCCCCCACCCATCCCCTCCGGCAAGCGCAGTTATTCCTTCTCCATCCTCAGTTCCCAGCAGAGGATGTCAGGTGAGGCTCACCTTGGAAAGCGCTGAGGTGCAACCACGCATGGTGCATTGCCGTCGGTGCCACCGAGGCGTCTGGCAGCACAGTCTCGGCTCCCTGGCAGTTGAGCTACAAATCATCAAATAAAGCTTTCGCATTTCGTCAGGCTCTGGTGTGCAAGTGCTAGATCTGGGTGGTGGGGACGTGTCTACAGAGGCGGCTGGTAACAATTGCACACATCCCTCGAGAAGGGACAGCCTGTGTGTCTTGTGTGCGCATGCGGGAGTGTAGGGGTGATCTCACCCACCATAGATAAGCGGCCCCTGGAGGGTGGGCCAAGGCTGAAAGCGGCCCTTGGCGCCTCAAAAAGCTTAGCCACCCCTGCTTTAGTGGCTTTTTCAGCTGAGAAAATAGCCAACAAGGCAGTCGCGTAACGTGGGGAGGGACACAGGGGCAGTTGCCCCAGGCGCAAAGTTGTTAAGGGCTCAGAATTTTGACACCCGGGGCTGCCTCGATACAGCTGTGCATTGCTGTTGCTTTGTTGAAAATGGCTTCTCTATGCAAGCCAGGAAGTGACCTGTTATGTGCTAAGCTTGGATCCTAGAACAATAGGCAAGTAGGATCCTAGAATGCAACAACTGATTGGCTTGCAGGAATCAGGCTCCAGGAGGAAGTTAATCAGCCCATTAAGCTGGTAGGATCGTAGAATGCAACCACTGATTGGCCCGAATGTAAAGACCAATCAGGCTCCAGGAGGGAAGCAGACTCAGCCAATCAGACGGGACTCATTGTGTAAATAAAGTATATAAAAGCCTGAGGTTTGGGGGGCAATTAAATCACTGTTTTACAAGCTGCAATAAAGAGCATGAAATCAATACAGGACTCTGAGTATATTTCATGACCTCTCCAGACAACAGAACAACTCTTCTTTTCTTATCTCTGCAGCTGCAATCTCCTGGGTGATGTTGATGCTGTTAGGAAGTTGAATGTGCATGTGTCCGTTCTGTTCCTTTCCTTCCCACCCCACCTACGCAGTCCTGGGCCCTGGCAACCCACGCTGTGCCACTTCAACAGGGTGCCTTCCTGATGTTCTTGGACTTCAACTCCCAGCAGCCCCAGGCAGCATGGCCAATGGTCACAGGTGATGGGAGCTGTAGGCCAACAGCATCTGCAGAGCACCAGGTTGGCTATCCCTGCTGTACGGTTGGACAGGGTCCAGGAAAAATCAGCTTCAAATCCTCATATAAACAGGTGCCCTCATGGGGGAAAAGACAAGTATGGTGGGGGTTTGGGTTAGAAAACTAGCAACAGGGAGCAGATCTGGATTAGGGACACAGATTAGGGCCTTGCACAGTTGCTTTTCCTTCAGAATAAAAGTGGCAGCCCTGTTATGTACTGAAGTTCTCACCCTGGGCCAGCAGGGGGATACTGTAGATAGTTATGCAAATGAAGGATAGAAAGTGACGTGCAGTGATTGGATAGTTTTAGAAAGTTGTTACAGTAACGTGGTACTGGAGCTCTATATAAGCAGGCTGACTGAGCCCTTCAGTTCAGTTCAGTTCTGTTCTGGCCTCTGAATAAACAAGAGCTGTTTGAAGAATCGCTGTGTCGTCTGATATGTTCACCCACAACTTAACAAGCCCTAAGCACATTTTTTAAAAACAAGGTGCAATTAATATAACACAGAGTGGTCAAAGTAGACCTGTTGAAAGCAGTAGACCCAGGATGATCATGCCCATTCATTTCATATGGGTCTCCTGTGAGTAAAACTTAGTTGAATACTACTCATATATTTCGGCCCTCTCTCTCAGCCTAACCAACCTCACAGGATTGTTGTGATTTTAAGCTGGGGTTTGTAGGAAGAATAATTATGCCACCATTATAGGTGGTGAATATAACATATTCAAATCCTTTTCTTTCTGAATTTTAGGATTTTTGTTTCCTTTCTTGCTATAAATTTCCCCATCATTAATCTCTTCCTTTTTATTCTATTATTATTATTATTATTACTCCTCTACACCTTTCCTCTATAAGTTTGGAATCACCGGCAGAACTGCAAGAGAGGCACAGTAAGTTCATTCCTTCATTTGAATAATTAAACGTTTTAAAATATTCCTTCCATACTTTACACGTCGAGCGGCGGATATATTATTCATACCTGGCCCTCAATGCGTACCAAAATAGAGAATGAGGTGCATAAATTTTAGCACTTGGGGAGGGAAATGTTTCATCACACACACACACACACACACACACACACACACACACACTTCACTGCTCCTCATTTTCTGTTGGGCCGGCTTTCCCCAACCAGGCGCTCTCCTGACGTTTTGAACTACAACTCCCATCAGCCGCAGCCAGCACTGCCCTGAGTTGCAGAAGTGTCTCAGCACTGTTAACAAGCAACGGCCCCCAGGATTCTTTGAGAGAAACCATGACTGTTTAAAGAGGTATGATAGTGCTTTCAGTGTGGAGTGCAGATGAGGCCATAGATAGATTATTTGTCCACAATTGCCTGCTCTGTCCGGCAGTGGCTCTTCTAAGACAAATGTCTTTCCCATTGCCTGTTTCAACACCCTTATTAGAAACAGAAGACGGCTCCTTTATCTGGCCATCCTAGCAAGGTTCCTGAGGTACATGGGAGCATTCCACCCCAGCAAGGATGCAAAGGGCATCATGGGAGGCTAGGGGAGGCCCAGCAGATTGAAGAACAACAACAACAACAACAACAACAACAACAACAACAACAACAACAACAACAACAACACTTTATTAATCTGAAGGAGCGTCTCCACCCCCATCGTTCTACCTGGACACTGAGGTCCAGCGCCGAGGGCCTTCTGGCGGTTCCCTCACTGTGAGAAGCAAAGCTACAGGGAACCAGGCAGAGGGCCTTCTCGGTAGTGGTGCCCGGCCTGTGGAATGCCCTCCCACCACATGTCAAAGAGAACAACTACCAAACTTTTAGAAGACATCTGAAGGCAGCCCTGTTTAGGGAAGCTTTTAATGTTTGACATATTACTGTATTTTAATATTTGGTTGGAAGCTGCCCAGAGTGGCTGGGGAAGCCCAGCCAGATGGGTGGGGTATAAATAAATTATTATTATTATTATTATTATTATTATTATTATTATTAGGATCCCGCCCATCTGGCTGGGTTTCCCCAGCCACTCTGGGCAGCTTCCAACAAAGATTAAAAATACATTAAAATGTCACACATTAAAAACTTCCCTGAACAGGGCTGCCTTCAGATGTCTTCTAAATGTCAGGTAGTTGTTTATCTCTTTGACATCTGATGGGAGGGCGTTCTACAGGGCGGGTGCCACTACCAAGAAGGCCCTCTACCTGGTTCCCTGTAGCTTTGCTTCTCGCAGTGAGAGAACTGCCAGAAGGCCCTCGGCGCTGGACCTCAGCGTCCAGGCAGAACAATGGGGGTGGAGATGCTCCTTTAGGTATACTGGGCCGAGGCCGTTTAGGGCTTTAAAGGTCAGCATCAACACTTTGCATTGTGCTCTGAAACGTACTGGGAGCCAATGTAGGTTTTTCAGTATTAACCCCGCCGGATAGGTTTGCAAATCTGACGCCAGCAAGATTTCCCTCCTGTTGGGGGTAGCCTCAGTTTAAAAGGAACTGAAGGTGCTACACTTGTGTGTTTCCCAGAGGCCTTTGCCACAGAAGGGGCTGCATGCAAACTCTTAAACCGACACAAATAAAGAAGGTTAAAAAGACACCGGTGGATAAGCTTCTGCTGCCTAGGGGACTCGGCCAATTTGCAGTCATGGGCAATTTTGCCTCCTGCGCAGACACAAGTTCCTCTCCTCCCCAGGTTATTAAAATTAGATGATGTTTAACAGGTCAGGGAGAATATGCTGATTGAAGGTGATGTAGCAACAAAGTACCTCCAGGACCTGCTCTCAGCATCTTTTTGGACAGCTCCTCCCAACCTGCAGATGCTGCAATCGGATCTGGAGGGGAACTCTTTCAGCACAGAGGAAGGTGCCTTATACTGAGTGATACCACGGGTCTGTCTAGCTCAGTATTGCCTACACTGGCTGGCAGGGTTTCAGGGAAGGATTTCTCCTAGTCCTACCTGGAGGTGCCAGGGCTTGATCCTGGGACCTTCTGCATGCAAGGTAAATGCTCTGGTCCTGAGCTAAGGCTTTTCCGTTGAAATTGCCCATTAACAATTAACACCTGGGCAGCAGCAGACTGACCACTGCAGGTACGCCAGTCCTCTCCACTATAGCATCTCTATTTAAGCTATAGTGATTCTTTCTCAATGTTAATCTATACACATAATGTTGTGTGTGCAACTTTTATGACGATTGGTGTGCTATTCTGGCTTTCTTTTTTGCTGGTGCATAAGTGAATTTTTGGATGCGGGTGGCACTGTGGGTTAAACCACAGAGCCTAGGACTTGCCGATCAGAAGGTCAGCGGTTCGAATCCCCGCGATGGGGTGAGCTCCCATTGCTTGGTTCCTGCTCCTGCCAACCTAGCAGTTCAAAAGCACGTCAAAGTGCAAGTAGATAAATAGGTACCGCTCCAGCGGGAAGGTAAACGGCGTTTCTGTGTGCTGCTCTGGTTCGCCAGAAGCGGCTTAGTCATGCTGGCCACATGACCCAGAAGCTGTACGCCGGCTCTCTCGGCCAATAAAGCAAGATGAGCGCCGCAACCCCAGAGTCGGTCACGACTGGACCTAATGGTCAGGGGTCCCTTTACCTTTAAGTGCATTTTGGGCAATTGTTTTTCATTTTCACATGGATTCCCCCCACTTCCCCCAAAACTAACCTTTGTGTTGTTAACTCCCATTGAATTCAATGGCCTGGCCTTTGTGATGCTCCTATTCATTCCAACACTGCTGTTGCAGCAAGAAAACCTCTGGGTGGATTTGCTCAAGTTCTTCCCCAAAAAGAGTTGTGCAAAGCTGCTTTTGTTTTTCATCAGCGGTAGGGAACCTCAGGCTCAGGGACTAAATATCCCCCACCCAAGCCTCTCTGTGTGGCCCCTGGAACTCTTCCCAGGGAACATCCTCTCCCCACATCTCTTACTGGCCCTGTTCCTGCTTGGCTGGTATATGTCCTTGGACTCTGACAATGCTTCTTGCTTCCCTGAATGGAGGATAGAGTGTGTTTATGAATGAGCCTCATTTATGTGGCAAAATTGGCATTCATTGCTCTCCCTACTTTTGCTTCTGGCCCCACCCACTGGCATCTGGCCCCTGAGAGGTTGCCCAGAAGGGAACACGGCCCTCAGTTAGAAGCAGCTTTCGAACCCCTGCTTCCCAGACTTTGGTGTCCTCTGCATCATTTCCCCTGCCTCTCCATGAATATGACTTGTAGCTAGTGATTTTCCTTTCCAAGGCCAGTTATCACCTGGGAGACCAGCTGAAAGAAATCTCTTTGAGAGTTAATTCAAATAATGTTGACAGGATTGACTGAATGCTAAGTAGCATAAAGGTGGGGCTATGTCTCTGTAGAAGGGCACCTGTGTTTTTGCAGAATATCTGTGTGTGGCAGTGGGAGGGAAATAAAAACTAATATACAATAGTTCAGGATTGTGTGTGCTTTAGGGTCCTCTCTCACACATAGTGTGTATTCCAAGCTTTCCATTGAACGGTCAGCTTTCATTTTCCTTGCAAATCTATAAGGAAATCACAAAGTTTGGGTTCTACCCAATGGCCTAGTAGAGGGGGCGGCAATGTAGTGTCCAACAGTTCCAAGTCTACCTACCACCACCTCCTATCAATTGGAGGGATGCCAGTGGCATGACAACACCTTACTATAATCCTGTTTCCTTCTCTGCTCTTTTCATTGTGCCATTTTGTGTTGTCTCCCTCCCTCGATGTTTCTTTCCGGGATGGAAAACTACGAAGCTCCATCTATTGTGTTACATCAACTCCCATCATCCAAGACCATTAGCTATCCTGCTTAGAGCCGATGAGGTTTGAAGTTGGCCCACCTCTGATTTATTGGGTTAATTTGTCATTGGCATCTGTCTGTCTCGAGAAACAATGGAGTGCTCCTCTGGGGGTAAAACCAAACTGATGAAGAATCCCAGCACCTGCTGTGGCTGCAGAGACTGGTAGCGCATAACTGCTGCTTCCCACATTGTTTTTGCTGTGTTAGCAGCACTGAAGGGACCTGTCTGGGGTGCAAATCTGGGGAGTGTATATGAAGGTCCTGGGATGCCCAGATAACAAGACTTTTGTTCTCACTGATATGATCCAAAGGAAAGCAGAACAATATATTTGCCACCCCAAATGGCTGGGGCAACCCACTCAGATGGGCAGGGTGTTGTTGTTGTTGGATTTGATATCTTTCCGCAAGACCTGCAAGACGGAGCTGTTCCGCCAGGCCTTTAGGCAGGATGCAGTTTGACTTACTTTCCTTTGTATAAAACAAGCCCGAAGGAGGCCCCCAACCCACTCACAGGTCCTTGTATGATCGGTGGAAACAGTTGGTCCTGGCAAGTATTAACCACTCTCAATTCCAACCTGATAATTGCCACCTGCCCAGATTTTAACTTGTCTGAATTAATTTTAAGATGCATTTTAATTAATTGATATCTGTTGTTTTTTTTTGCATATTGTGTTGTTTTTATGATGTTAGCCGCTCTGAGCCTGGCTTCGACCAGGGAGGGTGGGATACAAATAAAAAAATATTTATTATTATTATTGTTGTTGTTGTTTACCTGCTTGACTGAAGGAGTTTCCAGAAGGAGGTATGCAAGGTACCACCCAACAATTTTAGGGACTCCACTCTGGATTTGTGTAGGGTTTACTCCTTGGCCTTTTCTTCTCCTCATTTGGCTTAATTACTGGATATTTAAAAATGGGGTATTTCCCTTAAAAAACAACAACCCAACAACAATGGGAAGATAATGTATTTTTGAAGGCTGTTGTCCTATACTCACTCACTTGGGAGTAAACAACATTGCACTCAGTGAGATTTACTTCTGAGTAAATGTAGCATGTGCTGTTTATCTGCTACATAAAGGTAAAGGGACCGTTAGGTCCAGTCGCGGACGACTCTGGGGTTGCGGCGCTCATCTCGCTTTACTGGCCGAGGGAGCCGGCGTACAGCTTCCGGGTCATGTGCCAGCATGACTAAGCCGCTTCTGGCGAACCAGAGTAGCGCACGGAAACACCGTTTACCTTCCCGCCAGAGCAGTACCTATTTATCTACTTGCACTTTGACGTGCTTTTGAACTGCTAGGTTGGCAGGAGCAGGGACCGAGCAACAGGAGCTCACCCCATCTTGGGGATTTAAACCGCTGACCTTCTGATCGGCAAGCCCTAGGCTCTGTGGTTTAGACCACAGCGCCACCCGCGTCCTTTATCTGCTACATAGATCAGGGCTAAGGGGGTCTCTGCTCCAGGGCCAAATGTGGCCCCAGAAATGTTGCCCAGATCAGAATTCTCAGACTGAAAATGGTTCCCTCCACCCTGATGTAGACCCATATAGCCAAAAGCTGGAAGTAAAAAAAGAAATACATAAATAAATAATACACACTGCGCACCTTGGTCGCTTTGAGGCTGCGGCTATTTTGGGGTAGGATTCAATCACCTACCAGCAGATTCAGGTTGTGTAATTATAATCGGTGGGGAAATCTTGCACAACTTCACTTCCTTAAAAGTTCAGGTGTTTTGTGTTTTTGTGTTTTTGTTTTGTAACAAGGAGAGTCGTAAGAAAATGCACTGGAAAGTGAGGCATAACGCTTGGTTTGATGCGACATCATCTAAGCTCGCTGCAAACTGATCAGAAGGAATGCTCGTTAAACAGTCAACCCAGTGGACGGCAGCTGTGAAAAAGTCAAATTCCATGCCTGGGATCATGAGGAAAGGAAATGAAACGAAAACTGCCGATACAATTCCTTTATACAAATCTATGGTTCAACTCCGTTTGGAATATTGCGTACAGTGCTGGTTGCCTCACCACAAAAACCTACAGATCTATGATGACCAAGGACATATTCCAGCCAGGCAAAAGCACTGGAAGGGGGTGCAAAGCAGCTTCAGTGAGGAGTGTAGTTTGGAAGGGTATGTGGCCTACAAAGAGTCCCAGTTGGCTAGATAGCGAGTCCTTGGAGGGGCATATTTGACCCCTGGATCTGAGGTTCCCCATCTCTGACCTAGACCTTGGACTTCATTATGTTAATACACGGACACAAGAAAATAAATAAATAAATAAATAAATAAAGTCTATGACCTTTAGAACTGTGCATGGGGTTGCTGTTGTTTGTTACTAAGTTATTATTATTATTTATATTGGAAACTGCCTAGTGATCCTCGGAAGAAGGATGGTATGTAATGTAAATACATACATATTTCCAGACAATATCCCTTTCGGTGGCCTTGCTTTTCCTCACTTATTTCAGATGGTCTTATTGGGAGACCCCTCTTTAGAACATCATGCATATTCCTTGTTTCAAATGGTAGTACAGTCATACCTCATGTTACGTCCCGCGGCAACCAGGAAGTACTGGAAAGGGTTAATTCTGGGTTTTGTTGCTCACACATGCACAGAAGCACAAAAATGACATCAAGCGCATGCACAGAAGTGGCGAATCGCAACCCATGCATGCGCAGATGCGCCACTGCGGGTTGCGCTCTTTTCATGTTGTGAACGGGCCTCTGGAACGGATCCCGTTTGCAACCAGAGGTACCACTGCAATCAGCCTTGTTGTGCTTAGGTGCCCTCTTGCGGGTTCTGCTGATTAGCGCCCTGGACCTCTGGCCCCAAGTCCTACCCTGATGGAGCCACTTGGCTGCAGTGAAAAGGGAAAAGCAGGGATAGTGATTTACTAAGCAAAGGCACCAGAATGTAGGAACTATCCTTGGTAAACAGGAGCAGTTGTAATATATGGAAAAATCCAACAGTCTGCTTAAAAAACAAAACCTGACAGCCTCTGCCTGTTCTGGTTTAATTCCAATCTCTCCCCCAATGTGTCCTTAAGTTGTCTCGCCACATCATTTCTGGCTATGAGCCTGCTTTAGTTGTTCAGTGCCATGGGAGGCTTAGAGGACACATCGCTCAGGAAACCAGACAAGGACTTTATTCTGTTTCTTAAGTAACAACAGGACAGACACAATAAGTGCCTGACTCTACCCAGATTCCATTAGGTCCAGCGCCAACTAGTGGCTGAACTATATAATGGCATTGTCC